CAATACAAGGTCTTTACGCCCTCCCCTAGAACTCCAGTTTCATAATTAACAATGCCTCTCTGTACAACGGCACTCATCTCTGTATGAAATGGGCCACTGGCCGTTCCGTTTTTTTTTTCATCATGTAACAAAAATTAGGGTTCTGTGGGATCACATTAAGGTTTGTAATACGTTCGACAAAAACCAGACAAAGGTCAATTGTACAAAAAGGTAAGCTATTATACATATCACTAAAGGAAGGGAAAATCAATATTTTTCAATTTGATCATTCTGAATAGTAAAGGCATTTATGTGAAGATTGCGAAACGCCATACAGAACAAATGCTCGTATGTTTGTATTTCAGATTTTTTCAACTTCAATACCCCTAATAATTTGAAGTTTGATTGTTGATATGAATTTAATGAATTTTATTACATCGAGATTTTGTGATTGTAGAACTTAGTGGCTATATAATATGTATTTTATATAATTCTAAAATTAATTAAATATTGATTGTTTATAATTTAAGGACGTTTGATCTACAATAATATTAATTTACAAAAATGCTTTGTCGTTCATAGCAATAAATTATTTTATTTTTATTTTCATATTACCAAAGCGTAAAATTGCGTCTAATATCATAAAATAAAATATAGTAATCATATTTCGCTGTAAAACGACTAAAATGTTTACTAATGAGAAACCCGATAAGTGTAAAGTCACGGCTGTAACAGTATTGTAACTATACTGTCCTGTAACAAAACACACGTTTGTATTATAATAAACCTTTGATGAATATCCATCAACTTCAGGCATTGTTCATCTTTGGACCTTGATTAGATATCAGTAGGTACTATATGATGACAGGAACTATATCAACAAAATTGTTAGCAATCAAATTATATAAATATGACAAAGGTAGAAAATTATAAATTATAATCATGGTTTAATATGATTAATTCAAACTCGACTTCTATAGATTAAACACCTCTTATATTTTCGTCATCAACCCTTAACCAGCATAATCATCATAACCTAAATAAATCCCTGTAATTCGTCATTTACAACTACTACGTTGCTCTTACCCCAGCTGATACTGAATATAATATAAACTGAGATATACCTATTTACCTAGAATTCAACACATACTCCAATAAGTGTTTCACCTCTGGATAATATTTTAATGAATGACGTAGACGTATATCCATTAGTTAAATATTGTGCGACTACTTGCATAATTTCAAATTAGAATCTACAAATTTAAGGCATCTAGAAATATAATTTTATAAATGTATATAAAAACCTGTAAAATGTCTAGAAATAATAGTGATTTTCTTCTGGATTTTCTTAACAAATACTGGAAAAATATTAAACCCTCAATCAAATAGAGAGGCTACAATATTAACTTTTGGAAATACTATCTCTGTGCTAGATAGTATTTTTTAAATTAAAAATACTTTTAAAAAAAACAATACTCCCTCACTCGAATTTTGCAATTGATTTTACACTGAATATGTCTCGCGTCTAACGTTTACGGATTTTGTGGTTTTGTTTAATTACTATTATTAATTACTTTAAAATTACCTTAGACGTAATTGTTCATCCGTATGTTTCTGTTGTAATTAAAATGTCTAGATAATAAATGCATGGACACATCTATATAATTATTTTTTCGCTTTTATCTCAACTTCAAAAGTTAGTTACTTTCTAAATGTTGTTTAGCCTAACTTGACAGTAACTTTGAATTTGATAACACTGGGGTAGTCTCAGTTCTTGATGTGCATCAGTGATGTTCAACTATGAAATAATAAAACTGTTGAATGACCTGTTGTTGTTGCTTCTCTAGTAAATTGTTGAAAACTTTGTCTCGTTCATTGTCTATAATAATAGCGAAAAATATTGGCCGGGAGATTGGAATTATTTTTCCGTTTTACTAGTTATTACTACATATAGCTAAGTACTATGTTTGACTAAATGTATAGATGATTTGGATGTGAATGAGTGAAGTTTTACTTGCAAGTATTTATCACAGTTTAAGAGTACGATTAGTGTGATATAAGTGTGCAATATAAATCGGAGGGACCTTACCATTTATTACTATACATTTACTCAAAATAAGTATTATAATGTTAAAATAATGAGGAACACATAACATAATCATAAAATCAATGACTGGTGGAATCGTACTTGATAAATAAAATTGTGAGTCTTATTGAAATATATTATAACTAATTTTATATTGTTTCTAAGTTCTAACAATAGTTTTTGAAGTAAGTCTGAATAAATTACATTTCTCAAGTTTGTGCATATATATTATACCATTATGCACCTATAACCCATAACTATAATATATTATAACGCATACAATATCAAAATTATGTACAATAAATATCGAAACTATGTATTTTTGTACAATATGATGTAATTACTTCGAGTATTATTTATTTTGAAGATGTTAGTATTTGTGTATGATTTAATGTAAGTTAATCTTGTTGGAATTTCTATTGATGTATCGACTATACATATTATTGTCTATATTTGTATACATAATATATTCAATAAATTTAAATCAAGAAAATATTATGCTTCAGATATTTAAAATGTAAATCAATACATCCACTTGAAAACTTATTATCTTCTTCGTTATCCAAAATCAGGTCAATCTCCCGAAGTCTATTGTTTTGATTTTACGGATCGTTATTATACTATTTTAACGAGTGCGAGAAACTTAGATAACAAAATATATTTCTGTAGCAACCTCTTAATTAATTATTTATTGGTAGTCAAAAATATAATACTATTTTTTTAAGAATGTAGATATTTTCATTGACATTGATTGATCTACAAGAAAATTATATTTAGTATAGCATTTTTAACACAAGACCTACACCATACATATTATGTGGAAAATACACCGAAATTTTCTTTTGTAGTAGGTATGTGAATAGGTCTGTCATTTAATTTACCTTTATTTACTGTATACAAATATATGAAACGCATAATTATTACATAGCACATAATACAAAAAATATAATCTGTAGATATTTAAGATATCTGATCATTTTCTATGGACTCGATCAAATTTAAAAAACTAAAAATGCACTATTTTTTATTGTTTAGTTTGCAGTTTGTTCCTACGTAAAGAATAGGTACAACTACATTTTTTAAAGTCACAACTCTATAAAGTTTCTAAGGACTTTATTGTACAGCAATGTTTTGGTATATTCATGTGTCTCTGTGTTTTAAAGCGAAATACATCGCCAAGGGAGTTCTATCTTTGAGCAAAATTGATGCCAGAGCTTAATGAACCGTAGTTGTTTTCCTACGCTTCTAACGTTAATGTGCTCTTAATTTTCTTTTACGCCATGCGGGGGAGCCATTTATATTGTTTAGAAGCTAAGAGGTTCTCTTAATATCATGAAATTCGCCAATACATAAATTCTATTACAACTGTTATGGTAAGAAAAATAATTTGTATTATTATAGTACTTTAACATATTATTACACGACTAATTATTCATAAGTTTTCGGCTTACTAAATAAAACTCATTAATCTAGTTTGATTTATAACCAAGCATTTTCATTGGGTTTTTTTATCCTTTTGAGTAACATATTAATTTTAGTCTCTTGTTCCGATCCTGTGCAACCTGATAAGCTATTCATCGTAGCAGATTTCACACAGATTTATACCGACTTGTCATTGTTTATATTATTAAAATATAAAACAGGTTGTGAATATTAAATTGAATTTTTATAACTCTATTAAATTATATTTTTACCGCATCTTATTTGACGTGTTATATTATAACATTACAATAAACTTTATAAATTAATTTTTTTATTAACATAATACATACTAAAAATGTTAAAACTATTAAATTTGTTTTAGTAAGTTTAGGTTAATGTTTATAAAGAAAGTCCTTCTATCTAGTCCTATTCTTGCAAAAAATCACATAATAATATACTACCTTGAAATGAGTCATAATTCAACCATTAAGATAAATCATTTTACTAAAAGTATTACATTTGAATATTTTATTTAATGGACTTAATAAAAGCTTTTCATGGAATTTATTAGTATTTATTTTCTTTGAAACAGTGTTTACTTCAAAAATTTGGTTAAATCTGTATAACTATTATAATATAAATTTATAACCGTATGTATCATCATCTATTCATTTAAAAAATAAAATATTCACATGAAAGCGTAAGACTTTTATTTTTAAATAATTCTATATTGGATTTATTCAATATAGAATTATAATAATTTGGATAATTATATTGAAATAATAATGGATTATTTAGTAATTCTAATCTCATGAAATGTTCATCATAATTTAGGGAAAACATTTGGAGTGAATCGTCAAATAAATATGTAATACACTTGAACGAATTATTATCAAATAAGTTAGTAAATAAACACTTTATTCGTGAAATTGGTGAATTGACAGAATAATTCATATTATAGAGTATGGAATATCAGTAGACCGAGTGACTTTAATCGGAAACAGGAAAGAAAGTTTTTCAAGGAAGTCTGGAATTCTGGACACTCGATTAGACCAAATTAAACCAATTTATGTGGAAAATATATGTCCAATTTCTGTCTTCTTGTTTCAAGAGTTACAAGATTTAAAGAACGGAGTTATGGTTCATAGGAAGTATAGGGTTGTCTAGGACTATAGCATTTACTACATAAAAACGAACCATAGTTTTATAATAATATGTAAAATATTACATTTTTAATTTTATTATACTTAAAATTCAATACATATTTGTTTTTTATTTATTATTAAATAACACACTGAAAATAATATTTTTGATAGTTAGTAGAATAAAGTTACAATTTTATTTTAATAGTAAATAAAATTAATAATACAAAAAATGGAAACAGATAATTGTTTTATAACTAATAATTTAAGCAGGACAATGCACCACTATACTATACTGCAGTATACCGCTCAGTATAATAACCGAATCAGTACACCTCAATAACACAAACGCCAATACGGTTAGTAACGACATGGACCACAATGAACAGATAATACAAGATACCGTTGGCGACACCAATGACACAGATATAAGCGTCGAAAATAATACCAAGGAAACAAATACCATCACCCACACCACACAAAAAGCTACCACTCAAGAAAAAAGGCCTGCACCATCAACCTCGAATAGTAGCTGTCATGAGAACACCTCTATCCCAACACCAAATAACCCCACACCACCACCAATAGAAACTACAAATATACGGAAAAACACCGGTTCACTCGCAACCAAATTAAAAGAATCTGTCAAAACCCCCCAACCTCAGTACAAAAAACCAAGGCGCTCAAATTCAATTGAACAAATAATACTCAAACTGGATGAAGCATTATTACCAGCAAAAACTGCTTTTGAGGAAATACCAAACCTAAAAATTGACTTTAACCAACTAAAACATATTATTGAAAACACACTCACTGGACAAGATCCCTCCAGTGTTTTAACACCATTCAATATATCATCCATGGAAATGATCGAGATCTTGGAGGCAGTCCGTCCCAAAATCAAAAGCATCTGCATCAAGAACAGACTCTCGAGTCTAGCCAATTTACTGCTCGAATTGACCCCCCTTTCCGACTTCAACTAACTCACCACAACACAACAATAATAATTCTCATTCATTGTATACATTGCATTTTAAATAAAGTATCCTAATATGAAGAACCTGAATATAATACAATGGAATATAAATAGTCTCACTAAAAAACGACCGGATCTACAATTAATAATACAAAAATATTCACCCATGTGTATTAGCCTTCAAGAAACAAATCTTAAAAACAATCTCATACCCAATATCAAAAACTACAATATATTCTACACCAACCGACAAAACTGTATTCGGGCTAGCGGAGGCGTCGCCTCTCTAATACACATTGACTATCCCTGTGAACAGATTCCTATCTATTCCAATCTAGAAGTCATCGCAGTTCAGATAACACTAGAATCAAAAATTTCAATATGTAACATATACGTCCCTAATCAAACATCTTTTAACACATTTGATATAGACAACATCATCAAACAACTACCCAAACCATTTATTTTACTAGGCGACTTCAATAGCCATAGCGAATATTGGGGATCAGACAGAACAGACGCTCGAGGCAAATCAATTGAAAAAATCCTAGATGACGACTCGATTACACTACTTAACAATGGCGAACCTACCAGACTTAATCCGTCAAACGGCCATTTTTCCAATATTGACCTATCCTTCTCAAGTGTATCGCTAGCTCAAAAAATATCTTGGTCTATTATACACGAAATATATGACAGTGACCACTTACCTATTCTAATGACACTCCTTTCCACAAAAACACTAACACCCTCCCTCTCATACAGATGGAAGCTAAAAAACCCGGACTGGTTTTTTTTTAATACATTAGTTGACTCCTTTATGCAAGTAAACCCCCAATCCGATACCAGCACAATAGAGGACGATACCGCCTTCATCTCAGAGTCCATTATCAGAGCTGCAGAAGTTGCTATAGGAAAAACAACTAACTCTTTAAAAAGAAATCTAGTCCCTTGGTGGAATGACCAAATAAAAGAGTCAATCAAACAAAAAAACAAAGCACTCAAAACCTTTCAAAGCTCAAAAAACATGTCTGATCTCATAAAACTTAAACAACTGAGAGCGAAAACGCGATACCTAGTTAAAAGAAGTAAGACTGACTCTTGGAAAACCTTCACGTCCTGTTTGGGACCCAAAGCTGACTCCGCTCTGATATGGCGCAGAGTTGGGTCACTTCGAGGCTTCTCCAAGAACCACAACATTCACATCATGAAAGACACAAAATTATGCACCGATCCCGACGAAATATCCAATCTATTAGGAGATTTTTTCTACCATAACAGTTCGGATGAAAACTACAATACGACTTTCTTTAAAAAAAACGTACACATGAGGAACCAGAATTTAATTTCTAGCATCAACCCACACCTTGATGAACAGAAAAAACTCAACTCCCCAATTCAGTTGATTGATATGTTCAGAGTTCTATCCAAATGTAATAGTCTTGCCCCAGGACCAGACGGGATACCTTATAAATTTATCCACAACCTCCCCATGACCGCCTTAAATGCAATTATTCGAGTATACAACAAAATATGGTCATCTGGTCATATACCTCGAAATTGGAAGCACTCTATAATTATTCCAATTCTTAAACCGGAAAAAAACAAATTTGATACTAAATCATACAGACCAATATCCCTCTTAAATACCTTGGCAAAGATATTGGAAAAAATTATAGATTATAGACTTAGATGGTTTCTTGAAAAAAACAATTTCTTGGATCCTCGCCAGAACGGCTTCCGAAGACATAGAAGCACCACAAACTCATTACATGACATTCAAGAGGAAATACATTCCACACTCGAAGCTAAACAAATGATGGGCCTCATAGCTCTTGACATATCAAAAGCGTATGATACTACCTGGCGCCCCCGTATTGTTAAAATATTGTCAAACATTATCTGTAAAGGTAATTTATTCAACTTTATACAGAACTTCCTTACCGACAGAACCTTCCAGGTGAAGTGCAACGGAAAACTATCGAAAATATATTCTCAAAAAAACGGCGTACCACAAGGATCCACACTATCGGTATCGCTATTCTTATTAGCGATTAATGATATACCACTAGTTATACAACCCCCGGTTATGTGCACACTATTTGCCGATGACTTCAACATATTCTGCAGAGGCATCAATACAAATAGAACTATAAATTACCTGCAGAATGCAATAACTGCACTACAAGACTGGTCTCTTGTCTCGGGTTTCTCTTTTTCAGTCGAAAAATCACAATGTACTTTCTTCACTAATAAAAGAAATGTTGTTAACACCACCATATATATGAACAATATTCCCATACCAATTAAAAAGTCCATAAAAATATTAGGTATACTGTTCGACTCAAAAAACACATGGATACCTCATCTCAAGGCTATCCGAAAGGAGTCGCTCATAAGAATCAACACTCTGAAATGCTTCGCTCACAAGTCATGGGGTAGCCACTCTTCCAGCCTACTACAAATATACAAGGCACTCATCCTATCTAAGCTCGAATACAATTCTTTTCTGTTCATAAAAGCTAAGCCATCTGCACTCAAAATGATAGACACCGTTCACAACACAGGCTTAAGACTAGTCACCGGAGCTTTTCGCTCCAGCCCAATCCCCAGCGTCCTCAACATAGCCGGAGTCGCACCACTCGACATCAGGAGGGTACACAACACCATGTTGCTTGCAATCAGACGCACCCAAAACAATCTCAAAGTAGCGAAACAAATCACGGACTCACTAAATGATACCCATTTTCCGTACCTAGATGTTATTAAAAATGAAACCCCTCTGACGGCCCCCTGGCTATTCAACAACCATGTAAACAGTGAACTTAGTGAACTAGTTAAGAATGATACCTCACCCATAGTTTTTAACCAACATCTACAATCAATCACCTCCGATCTCTGCGACCACACTGAAATATTCACCGACGGCTCCAAAACGGATATCGGTGTTGGAGCTGCAGTAGTAGTTAAAGACTACGTATCAATGCTGAGACTCCCTAATTTCTGCTCAATATACTCAACGGAGGCAACGGCAATTTCTTACGCCCTAGACCTCATCAAAACAAGACGCATACTCAAAGCAGCTATTCTAAGCGACTCGCTAAGCTCTTTAAGGAGCATAGAAAACCCCTTCACTCCAAACGAAATCGCCAGAAAAATTCAGAATCAACTGCATAACCTCACAAGTTCCGGATACTCCATAATCTTGATATGGATACCCAGTCATAGTCAAATCACGGGAAACGAGAGAGCCGATGAAAACGCTCGCCAAGCAATAACATCCCCGGACGCTATAAAACTTAATGCCTTTACTCTACACGACGCTAAATCTCTATCTAAAACAATCACAAACAACTTATGGCTCCGGACTTGGAGACTAGGTTCTACAAAACTAAACGAGATCAAACACACCACCCTAACATGGCCCTCTCCATCGAACACATCCAGGAAAATAGAGACGGCAATCAACAGAATGCGAATCGGACACACAGCGCTAACCCACCAGCATCTGATGAGGAAGGAAGACCCCCCCATGTGTACAAGCTGCGGCACCCAGCTCACAATCAAGCATATTATATCTGAATGCCGCCAATTTGAGAGAGAAAAACGGGAAGCAGGAGTTTCATGCATTCTCGCCGAAGCCCTTCAGCCAGCCAACATCCAGAACACGATATCATTTATAATCAATTCTAATTTAATCAACCTACTGTAAAATAACATGTGTATTAATATTAAGTAACTACCTTCCAATGTAACCCCATAAATTTGTAGTAGCCAATGGCCCTAGATGCCGAGGCTTTTATTAATAAAAAAAAAAAAAAAAAAAAAATAAAATAATAATATAAAAATATCATATATTATGAAAATAAAAACAATATTATTATATTGTCAATAATATAAATTGGAAAAAAAATATTGTATATTAAAAGTTACACTTGCTATAATTTATATTAGGTAACCAATATTATTGTTTTTAAAATCTTGAAAGCAGACATTACG